GGTTTTAAGGTTCTCTGAACAACAGAAGATGGGGTTGCCTCAGTAGAAGGAACTATAAGCAGCTATAGCTGTGTACCTGTGGTGTATTTGCTTCTTTAGGTTCTCATGCTCCATGAATAGCCAACAAAGCACTGCCTACAGTTCTTTGGGCATGAAACTGGGTTTTCTGATGTTCCCTGTCACTGGTAGTACTCTAACCAAGGCACTGGTGCTGTTAATGAAGTTCTTACTGTGAGCTGTCTGTGGGCTGACTTGGGTAAGCATGCATTGGTGAAATCAAAAAGATAACTAAGGATTTGGTGAAACTGCAGATCTTGAGTTGTTTTGAAACACAGTCAATATGATTTCCTAGCTGAAAGTGTGAACCCTGTAGAAATTATTTGCAATCGATTTCTTTACTTCTACCTTCCACTAGGGAAAATTTTCTGTTCCCCGGTAGTGAGACAAGTTATCAAACAACAGGGAAAATTAAGTGAGCACAGAACTGATTAAAGGGTTAGATGTCTATGAAAAAGGGTGACAAAGCACATGGCATATAGAGGTAACTGCAATTTTTTTGAGAACTGGTGCCTTTTTTTTTATTAAATAATGTCATACACGATAGCTTGTAGAAGTGCAGTTTGCAGCTTAAATTTACAGTGATGAAACTTCTGATAATCTTCAGTTCCTATTTCATAACTGAGGACAAGACTATGGGATAATGGGGTAGCTAAAACCTAAGAACAGCAGTTTGGCAAAGGATCTGGTAGAATCACAGTTTATAGAACAGATAATCCCAAATGAGAACAAGGACATTGGTACTGCCACTGGGTCTCAAAAGCCACCAAATGTGAGGGCACAAGAAAAACTAAGGCAGACTCACGTAGTCTATAGAGTTTAGGGAGGAGATGGGCCTATTTTTGTAGCAGAAGGTCCTTTCAGCTGAAGGACGAGAGATCTGACTGCATAAACCAGGTAGATTCTCAGTTTTTAAGAAGCTGTGAGATGTAGGAGGATACCCTAAAAGATGAGCATAACTAGTGGCATGGCAAAATGGTAATAGTGAAGTTGATTGAGTGCTCTTGCAGGTCAATACTTTGGCTACAAGGTCTTATGTCCATGACAGAATAGCAGTTAGAGAAGGTGTGCCAAAGACATCAGGGAAAACCAAGAGGAATTGATTGGAGCATCCTGATGTTAAAAGATGTTGAAAATACTTATATCTAATGCAGTCAGAGGACCAAATGCAGGAGTTGAATGTTCAGGCTTGGGAAAGCTCTAGCCAAAGTGTAGGTGACAACTGCCAAGTATACAATTTCCAAAAGTGCTGGTAAGTGTTACACACACAATTGTCCTTCGCATATTGGGAGAAGACTAAGCCCCCTAAGGCTTACCTCTTCTTTATATAAGAGTTAGATTGGAAGTAAGTACTAATGTAAGGGAACACTGTTATCCAACTGAGTACATTATGATTGCTTTTGCAAATGCTGAAGTATTTACAATGATTATCATTGAGATCTTCTATAAAAGTAAAGACAGAATTACTCATCACCAGGTCTTTATTTTAGTAGTGTTTCTCAGTGATACAATGATATATAAACCCCATTTTTAAAGCAAATTTATTCTAGTGTAATGCTTTACACTTTTTTCTCATACAGGCTTTACAGTAATGATAAAATCAATGTGAAATTTCATTATTTTTGAAGGAAAACTTTGAAATACTGTCCTATTCCCAATTTAGAAAAAGCAGGTACATATACCATAAAGAAAATGTTGTTAGCTCTACCCTATGACATGGGAAATACTGTCACGCTTGAGTAATTGCATAGCAACTTGATACAGACTTGAGTGAGTTTTGAGAAGACATTGACCCAGTGGCTCAGACGTGTCTTTAGGATAACATCAGTGTTTCAATGGATGCAGTTTTAAATCTACTATGCTATTAAACACAAAGGGCAAATTTATGCTTGGCATATCTCCCTTGGCAATGTTGGCACTAAACTAGGGAGTAATTTTCCCTATTGCATTTAACAACATGTTTCAGATTTAAAAGCCATGGAGCCATTAAAATATGACTCCATCAATTAGAAAGTAATTGTGGTATATCTTTCTAGTGCTGAGGGATTAACTCAATTTAATCTCAGTGCGGTTAACAAAGGCAGTTAGCTACTTGCTTTAAATATGAGTTAAATCTGTAAAACATAATGACTTCATGGAGAACAGGATTGGCCCCATGGCAGTTGCCCAAAAAATGGGCTGTTGACTTCATTGAGTTCAGTGGGAACCTTGAACTGAATGGCAACGTGATGAAGCCTCTCAGGGCTGTTGCTGTAGGTGGTCCGCACTTGAAATTCACATACATGTTTTGTATCTTTTTAAAGATCATGAAAGAGATAATTAAACTGTATCCAGCTTCAGACCTCTCTGTGTTGATGCCAACATTTGCTTTAGGGCAACTTCATAAAGCAGAGATGGGAAGAAACTGAAACATAATGGCTGAATATTTGTCAGTATTTGCTGTCACCAGTAATTATTATCAGAAAATCCAACTCTGCCAACTAGATATTAGACAAAACCCAGCACTGGAGCTTGAGCTGCTTTAGAAATTCTTGCTCCACAGCTGGTAGTTACTGTCCTGTTAGCTGGTAAGCAGCACGTTCTCCATCCTAATTCACAGCAGCGTGAAGAAAAATCAGTTGGCTTAATTAATTTCACAGAATCACAGAATGGTCAGGGTTGGAAGGGACCTCTGGAGATCACCCAGTCCAACCCCCCTGCCAGAGCAGGGTCACCTACAACAGGTTGCACAGGACAGCATCCAGGCAGGTTTTGGATGTCTCCAGAGTGGGAGACTCCACATTTGCAGAATACTTAACTATTATAAACTGGTGGTGCCATGGAGGCCTTCGGGGATTTTACCACTGAATTTGGAAGTATTTGAAGAATTACAGGCAAAGCAAGGACCTATTATACAGTGTTTAGTTTAGACTGTCCCTCAGTTTGGGCAAGGCTTTAGTCCTGCTAGGGTCTGATGCTGAATACCATTAACCAGACTCTACCAAAAAGACTTGTCTTTCTGGAGAAAAAAACCCTAAGCTTTAAGGTAAATAAAACATATTTTAATAAGGTTTTAAGGTAAAGCATATTGGTATATTGTAAAGGGATTTGGGATTTCTCTCAGCAGATCGTCCTTTAGTTTGATAGGAAGGAGCCTGTAGCTGTGATTGCATGTCTGGCTGTAGAGGGTTAGAGAAAAAAAGGAACAGAAGGGTTAAAGCTGATAGTGAGAAAAGGCAGGAGGGATGATATGGCCTCCCTGGGGCGTTAGGGGGAGGGGAGAGGAAGTGAGATCTGCTGTGGCTGGAAGTTTGCTTTTTCTTTTGTTGGTAGCAAGCCTGCTGGCTCTTAAAGGCCCACCGAAGATACCCCACCCCTCCTTTTTTTTTTTTTTTTTTAATTTTCTGGCCTAGCATATCCCCAAGATCTGGAAAAAGGGGAAAAAAAAAAATAATCCACATTATTATCCTTGCACATGTCATCCTTCACAGCCCCACAGTCATGCTTCACAGCCCCACAGTCATGTGGCCCCAGTCCTGGCCCTACAGTTCGGTACCCGCTGCAGGACTGTGGTGGCTGGTGTTTCCCTGGCACTGCCACCCACCTCTCCTAGGGTGAGGGCTGCTCCCTCCTTAGGAGCTTGGGGCAGGGATCTCACAGGCCGACCATGAAGGGTTTCCTGTGCACCTCTTTCCTTCAGCGGATTACACCCCTGATCTGGGGCTTTCCCACCTGGGCTGGGACTTCCCACCCAAGATGCAGCAAGACTGAGGGGTGGCAGCCACCAAGTGGTGAGCAGCCAGTGCAGGCTCCTGCTAGGTCCCTTTCCCCTTGCCTGTCAGCCCTAGCAACAACTTCCTTTAGTACCTCTGTCTTTCCTACAGCCACTCTGACCAGCCTGACTCTTTCACCAAGCCCACCCATTCCTGGCCTCATCTCAGCACCTTCCCTTCTGCCACCCTCTCCATCTTGCCAGTTGTGCTTCCCTTAAGCCATCTTCCTATCCATCCCCTTCATGGCTCACCCCCTGGACAGTCTTGCTCCTGGCACCTTTCTCCCTCTCCCAAACCTCTGCCCCCACTTCACCTTTCCATCTCTTTCTTGAAGGCTGCTCAGAAACAAGAAATGCTGTCAGGGCTCTATTTGTCTCCTTCACTCCATGCTGTTGGGTGTAATATGCATTTACTGGCCGCTGGCAAGGCCTAGCTAGTGCAGGAAGGTCCACAAAGATGCTGGCCTGATGCTGTGGAAACTGGGGATCTTGCTTTTAGGTAGATAGCTTGCACCTGTCTGTGTTATCCTTCTGTTGCTGAACAGAAGGATGCCTAGAACTATCACTCCTTTTCTTTCAGTCCCTTTCTAGCATGGTTAGTGGCAGAACGCTTAAGTTCAACATATAGTAGGTAATTCAAAATACTCTGATTATATATTTATATAGGTGAGCATTCCGTATCACTGCCTGCATTTAATGAAGGATTTAAAACAGTTCTTTCCCTTTTTCTTCCATTCTGCCTAGTCAGGCTTTTCTGAGAAAAGGCAAAAGTAAATCTTTAGGTGGATGCTTTAGTAGAGAAAGTGGGATCTGATGGAATTGTGTAAAAACACAATTTATTTGTTCAGCTTTGAATGAAAGACTTGTGATGTTGTCCATACCTCTCTGTGCTTTAGAGTGATAATCTAAACTAAGACGTTGCCTTTCCTATAAAGCCCTGAAATACAGTTGCACAAAATAAAGGAACTGAAGTAAAACTAAAAACCTAGAAGGTGGGTGGAAAGTTGTGCTAAGAAGTTACCGAAAAGTTGTGCTAAGAAGATACCAGAAAGTTATTGCTAAAATATTTACTGATGACAAAGTCTGAGTGGTCATTCAATATAACCTGTCCCTAAATAGAATTAATTGAATGTGCATCAACTTTTCTGCAATGTGCATTGAATTTGATTTCCTCTGTTTTTATTTCTTCTAGGGCTGTCAGAATGAGTGCACGGCTGGAGGATGTTCGGGAGAAACAGCAAAGCATGTGACTGAATCTTTCAAGGTATATTGTTTGTTAAAGGATGAGTGTCCGAAGCATTTCAGTAGATGGTGCCAGACAGCATCCATAACATGGTAGTGATTGTTGTGCAGGCATTCATAGCTACTGATGTGCTTGAAAGTCATAATTCTGTAAATAATTCTGTAAGTTGCATTTGCTGAATGTTTTCAATGTAGAAATTAAGAATGTTACAAGAAGAGCTTTAATTTATTATAGTTTCAGGTACTAGTTAAAAGATTAGTAGTCATTAAGCAAAAATTAAAACGGTATAGGTGATTTTATTTTTAACTCTTTCCTGCTTCAAAAGCAATAGAAATAAAGATTGATTCCCCCGTTATGTTTTTCCAAACAAAGTCTGTGTAACACTCTATTATTTGTTCAACTTTGGCATTATAAATGGTGTTCAAAAGTAGGTTTTTCCATCTGGTCTCAAAGTTGCAGAGCTAAGGATCTCAGAAGGACTCCAAAGCACACCACAGCTCTGGCACATTATCAGCACTGAAGGAGCAAACAGGGCTGTGATAATAAGCAGCGCTGAGCAGCTGCCAGGAACTGACATGAAATTGAATCACTCTTTTTTTCTTTTTCTTTTTTTTTCTTTTATCTTATGCTTATAACTGAACTCGGTTAAGATATCACTCTCTTCCTCTGCCTCCTTCCTGAAAGCAGTGCTAGAAACTAAGAGCTCGTTTTAAACACTGTATGGAGACAGATGTCAACTTTTAATTTTCTGTTGGAAATGTAAAGCCCATCAACATGTGCTTCTTTGAACCTCTACCTTCTGTCCTCATTGCCTTTTTTTCTGCCTCTTTTATACTTCTTTTGCCTTTATTCCTTATGTCACACGTGTAATTCTTTCTCCCCCTCTCTTTCTCTGCTTTACAATCGTTAGAAAGCCACATCTATATTTTGCAGATGTTTAAAAATAGTACCCAGAAAAAAGTGACCTCACTTGTGCCTTTTCAGCAGTTCCCTTCCTGTTAATGCTGGCTATTGTCAGCAGTACATGAGATGAAATTATAATGATACACTCTGTAACTGTGATGTTCTTCCTGATTTTTTGGGCAGTGTCACTGCTGGGCAGTCTTTTGAATTGAGCTTAAGTAGTTATTTCCCTTTTAGTTGCCAGACTTCAACCAGATACGGAAAATAAATGGTGCAGAAAATGTGTTGGTCTCCTTGATAAAGTTTATTCTGATGCTGGTCTCATTGCAAACAGCAAAGAATTCTTGAGACTCCAAGACCACATGTAGTAACATGCCATTTAATTTCTTTTTCCCCATTCTAAGCCCTTTCCAGTTCTTCTCTTCCTCATTTCTTTGCATTGTGGGTCTCTGGCAATTCTGCCCAAGAAGGAAGATTTAGGAGGACTTTTCAACTGGAAGGTCTGATTTGAAAAATGTTGACAAAACCAGGCATGCAACCAGTTTTGAAACCCCAAGAATTCACAAGTATGGAGTGCAGAGTTGTTTTGTGAATTCACCTTTGATAAATAGACAAGATAGTTCTCAGTAGATTTGTTCAGTAGAGTGGGGTGGTGTATTTAAAAACAAAAATTGCTTTACAGAGAGAAGACTCTTGTGTAATTGCACTGTACTGTTTCCTTCCACTCATTGACATAGTCTGGAAGGAAGATAGACAGAGTGGCAACAAACTCTGATAGTGTTTGGGTTGTAGGTGAACCGAGCATAAACTAAGCCAACTTAAACCAGATTTAATTATACCGACAGTCAAGCAGGTGCCTTACCAAAGCTCCAAATATTGGGTGGCACAAAGTTGGATTTAATCCAGTTTCCTTCCCATCGATATTTGTATGTCAGCCAGAATGGCACATCATTGTAGTGGAGAGTCTGTGTGAGGGGAAAAATATATTAGCAGGTGGGACAGATGGTCATAAAGGGAATAATACCAGAAAAAACAGCTGGCTTGGGCTGAAGTCTAATTTGCAAGTCCGTTCCTGCCTTATGGCTTGGTTTCTGAAGATTAGCTGCAGTTGCAAGAAAGGGGTACAGTTTTTTAGAAAATTTTGTATTGTGGTGTGTGTGTATGAAAGTTATGATGGGAATACAGATATTGATTGCAGTGCCTTGCATTATAATAATTATGTGCAGTCTCTTTAACTTCCCTGCCAAATTAACAAGAAAAAAATTTACAAAAGAAGGAAAAAATAACACCAGAAAATGACAAATAAAATAACCTGGATTCATTCTAGAGAACTTCACAAGCACTTCTGTGGAAGACAGTTCCAGTTACAATTTCAGAAACTATAACTAGTAATATTTCAAAGGAATCAAGCTGACCCATGAGGCTGACTGTGCTGAAGAAAGATGCAATTTTGTGCCAGTAACCTTAAGTAATCCAAGATTGTGGAAATGTAGAAAACAGGGTATGGTTTTGTTTTATGCTTACATAAAACATATTGCTTAAAGTGGATGCTGCCCAACGTTTGAATGCCAGATTAGCCCTCTGAAGTAATTTCTTTTTGGAATGGAGTGCTGTGTTTTTTAGGTGGGGTGAGCTGCTTTGAATTTTACTGCAATTTCTGCTGACTTGGAAAGGTGGATTCGGAGACTCCCTGTACACTGGGAGGGAAGGAATGAATGCTACCTGCAGCTTCTAGCAAGCAGTGAGCCCCCTCTGCTAGCTGCTCGCTGTTTTTGATTCTCATGGGCTTCTTTTAAGTCAATAGGTCGGAATTGGCACTTTGTTCATTTTAACTGCCACTGAACTACCTTAAATTGACTCGATTCTACAGTGATAAATCTCATTGTGACAGGTCTGTGATTTACAATATACTTAATGTATTGCATTTAGAGCTGACACATGACCAGTGATCTTGGAACTGATAAGAAACTTCGAAGGAAACAGTGATTATGCTAGAGTTTCCTGTATTGCAGAAAATGTCAAATCTCCAGGATTTATCTACTCAGCTCCTTCTACTAGAGTGAAATCTTCCTCCCTCCCTCAACTGTTGTATGCACTTACTTATATGTTTGTTTATTTAAATAACTGGCTGTGGTTTGTGACCATAACCTGAGAAGTTATACTTGGAGTTTTTGCCTATTGTCAGCATTGGATCTCTCGGAGGGGAGTGTGAAACCAGTGATGGAAAGCGCAGTCATCCTCTGTACCACTGAATGTGTTTTGGAATGTTGAATCAAGAAATACACATATCTGGTTTTGCTCTTATATATGTGTGTTTGCATTCAGTAATACCATAATACAGCACACAGTTATGTGTAAGGCACTTATGTTTATGTTTAAAAATCTGCTAATTTCTTTCATGCATTCATTCTGCTTATTGTACTGTCTCAAGATAGAATGAATGTTGTTTGGATAATATAGTGGTGTATTTCCATGTGTAACTCTAATTTGGTTTATTTTAATGTCTGCATTAGCTCTGACTTTGAATTCATAATACTTGGTCTTACGAAACTAAAGGCATCTGTCATTGTCTTTTCTTTCCCTCATGTTATCAGTCCATATCCAGAAAGATGATTTTAGTTTTTAGGTAACCTTTTTTCATGGAATACATTTTCTCTTTGAGAGACTGATACATGGAACACTTTAAGAAGGTACTACCTACTCCTTTTATGTTTCTCTGTGTTTTAATGATCTGAAGCTACGTAGAATTAGTTGGGCATCTTAATGGTGCAAAGTTCAGTTGATTTGTTTTAATTTTTAAGGGCCTATTTAGTGTACCAAAATGGTGCAGACCTTCTAGGACATACTGGCTAGTCTGCTATGCCAAAGCAGAATAAAGTAGCTGTAGTTTACAAGTGGATCTGGATTAACTTGCTAATATGAAGACTTGCGGCAGCAGAATGAGAAATGTTTAAGTGGAGTTTCTGTATCTGAATGGCTCCTTATGTTACTCTAAATAACTGTGAGTGTTCCCGCACAGTCTTCTGCAGACAGACCCAACCTCCCCAGGCTCCGAGCCAGTGGGATGTGAGCCCGTGGCAGACTGGAAGCTGTATAGGCAGGTTAGTGCAGTGCTGTGCTCAAACTAATAATCCCTGTTGAGATCTTGGGCTTGCCAGACTGATTACAGTGTTATGCTGATGTGTTTGTATGGCTTCCAGTTTGAAGCTAGCTTGTGTCTAACTTTGTGAGATGCTGGATATAGTGAATATTCTGTAACGATGTGTGTCTTAGTATTTGTTTCTTGCATTGCTCTAATGTTTTAGAGCCCAAGCTGTGACCTAGCTGACATTGTGCTGGGTATTAGCAAGTTAGAACATAAAGATTATTTCCACACTATAGGCATAATCTACAAATAAACAACCGAAATCTCTGATGGTTTTTCCACAGAATCTAAAGCTGTAGTGTATTTTACCTCTGGATGAAGTATGAAGAAACTGAAAGCTTATTTTCAGTGCAGACATTTGTGGTTCAAATTGAGAGATTGCCAATGAAAGTTTTACAGACGTTGATCTTGTTCTTGGGGGTCTCTTCACACAAATATAGTTGTTCCTTGTAATAGGACCTTTAGTTGCATGTTTTAAAATGTGTAGCCTCTGCATGAAATGATTGTGAACTTGGTTGGCTCTATGCAAAACATACTGTGCTGATTCAGGTTCTTTACCTTTTTTCACGTTCTTGACAAATCGGGGAATAGCATTAGAGATAAAGAACAGGTCTTACCCTGGAACTATTAGAATTATAAATACAGTAGTATTATAGGAGTAATCTATGTAGTGAAGATATAGGTTAGATGTTATTGCAGTATGCAGCATTTCTTGTTATATAGTGTATGTTAGAAAGAGTTGGAAAAAATCCTTTTTTTTCTGTGGAGAAAGATACGCCTATTTTCAAAACTGTTTTTCAAAGGAAAACCCGACTAAATATTGCATTTTCTATGTTTACATTACTGAAACTACAGTACTGTGATTCATTACCATGTTTATACTAATGAAACTCAAGTGAATCTATAATTTGTGCCAAACATAGTGGGATATAGGATCCCTTACTCTGGGAATTGGGAGAGGGGCCAATCCATT